TTTCCCTTTTTTTTTTCCCCCCACCTGGCAGTATTTGTCCCTTTCTGAGTATCATTTTGGTTTTGGGGAAGGCTCATGTTTACCTGCACTGCTGTAATGCCGCGTGTGCTGATGTATAATAAAATAAGCCCTTACATTTAGGAATTTTGAGGTTGAGAGGCATTTTTGGAACATCAGATAAAATCCAGGGTAGACCACAGCGCAAGCAAGGTTGGCGAGATTGTTCCCAGTGAGGGATCCTAGTTAAGATCCATTTACTTTGTATGTCTAACGTTGCGCAATACTGTGTTAATGTATCCATCTTGTGATTCTGGCAAATACTTTTTTCCTCCTTTCTGTTAAAGAAATAAATGTCAGCCTCTCAGAAAGGTTTTAGTTATGTTGCTATGGTGCAGGATGCTGCAGAACATGGAATCTTGAATCTACAACCTTATGGGATTTCTTAAGATATTTCTGCACCCAAGCCTTTTTAAAAGCGATACTGCCAGCAGGAGCAATTTAAGTTCATGTGTGGAAACTACGATGGTGGCTGACTGGGATATGGTGACTTTTGTCGTAGGGCTGATTTTCTTGCCCAGAATCATGTGATCTGGCCTATGGAGATGTATTAATTTTTAAATTTTACAATTTTGAGGTAGTGTATGTTTCTAATTTTAGAAACATTTTGATAATTTTCCATTTACTAGATGACCCTGTTCCAGCTTGGGAAGGTGTTCAGCTTGATTCTTTAAAGCTTGTTAGTGAGTCCATTGCATCTTGATTACCCCTCTCCATTTATGCTGTGATGAAGTTCAGATTGTTCACCTTCTTAAAATTTCTCCATAGATTTCCTTAGTCCACCTTGTACTGTTTCACTTCACACTTTGTGGAACTTGTTGCTTTCTGTTTATTTTGATCTCTGATGCATTGAGATCTCTGATCTCTTGTTTGCAGATTTGCAAGACAAAAGGATGCCTTCAGCGTTAGCAGGTAGTTACTCCTAATTTTACAAAAGACTTGTCAGGAGAATTGTGACTCAACTGACTTCAGAGGATCCTTGTTTATTTTCCGTTCCTTTACAGTACGGTGACACAGCCAAAATGTTAAATAATTACTAATTTACTTAATACAGTCGTATGCTTTCAGCAAGCTTTCTGAGGAAAAGACCTTATGCCTTTTGTCTGGAATGCCTGTTGACAAAAATACAATTTTCTGTCTTATTCTGCGAGAAGTGGTATCAGCTAGCTGCAGCGGCCATTTATAGTTTCTACGAGCTACCTACGGATTTTCCAACTGCTATAGGTAATTTGACTACCCAGTAAGCAAGCAGGCTTTCTAATCCTTCTGAGCAACAGAGGACATCCAGTTCCAACTGAATGCCCTGCCGTATCCCAAGTGTATCTGACCAGCCTTGCTCTAAGTTGTCGCCATGTACATTTGTAGGGATTAAATAAATAGAAATAATAATCTTTTTATAGAAAGTCCTGTGGGATAAGGGAAGAGAATTAATATTCTGGAGCAGGAGTGTAGGTCTTTCCCATTAATAACGAGGTGCTGCATACTCTCCAAAGGGTGACTTAATCACCAGGTGTGTGCTGCTGTGGCAGGAGGAACGCCTCCACAAACATCGCAGAACCCTATAACCTGTCTTGTTCCACTGTCACAAGTGGGACCAAAGATTTATGGAGGAATCAGCCTTAGTCTATTTAGTGTTTTCAGTATAATTTGACTTTTTTTTTTTTTTTGATGAACGAGGGGAACTTTGTCAAAGATGTGTTTGTTCTGTTTGTGGCTGGGGTAGCACTTGACAGTTGTGGCCAACATGTCTTTTGGTCTGGAGTTGGTTGGTTGGGTTTCTTTTTTTTGAGGAAAAACCAGGGTGTGGAATAAAGCTCTTTCCAGGCTGCTGCTTTTGGCTAAAACAGCAGTATTTCCAACAGTTCCAAGAACTGAAATGCCCTGCCTGAATTACTTAGCGTAAACTAGTGACCTCTCTGTTAACAGCAGATGTACAGCCTAGTTAATAGGTCACAGTAGCAGAATGAGGGGGCTAAATCGGACGTGAGCTATCAGCTGCAGAAGTACAGTCCAGATTTATCAGGGTGACCTTGAATCACTGCAAATGGAGCCTCTTAGGATACTGCGGCTCTGCTGTCAGGTAATACCTGTTTACACTATAAATATCTTAAGAGAATTAATGGTTCACGTCCCTGCGCTGGGGCAGGTGGAAACTCCCCCCTCCAGATGCAAGAAGTTAATTAGAGTTTCATTAGATGTTGGGCACCCAGCAGGATGTCGTGCAGCAGAAATAAAGATTAAATGAATTGAAAGCAAGCCAATGGGAAAACGTCAATGCAAAAATGATCATACAAAGGTTTTATCTTTCTGTGTATCATATTTGAAATACGTGGGCACCCAATATGCGTGTTAACTTCTGCTATTTTAATTTGTTTCAGATATTGCTGTTAGAAGTGAGGGAGGAGAGAGACAGACAGCATAGCTAAACAAAGACAGCACTGGGGGCCCAGTGCTTGCCAGTTGTCAACTTGTAGCAAAAGGACAAAAAATTTCAGATGGCCTTCTCGTGTGAAGGAAGGATCTCATCTGTTGTGAGCCAGGGATGATAGCAAGAGGAATTTGGAGGGGCCACAGTCTTTCAGGTTCCTGAAGTACAGCAGGATGATGGTGCACATCTAAAAGGCATTAAAACATCTGAGAAGAGCCATGTACGCCAGTAGAATAGTCTTTTGGGCATCTACCTTCTGAAAAATACTTTTAAGCCTTATGTCTAGTCTACTCATCACTTAAAGTTTCTTCTTTGTTGGAGGCATTGTATTAGATGTTGCAAAACAAAAGCACTGCCGGCTTGCATTAAAACTGGTGTAACTCATAACGGAATTATGTTGTTATTATATTATTGAAAACTTTTACTGTTTTCAAGAGTAAATAATTATTTTTTTTCAGTTGACGTTTTGACTCAACGTTCACAAGTTTGGGTTTTTTTTGTCATGTTGAATAAAAAAATAAAGTGATTTACAAAGAATTCATTATTGTCACTTGCATTTGTTTTGGTGATGTCTTTACTAGGGTATCATCCACAACCCCCAGGTGAATCTGGGTTCGGTTGTGCTGGGCACGGTGCAAACCTTGGGGAAATACACAATCCCCGATTCACAAATTGGATGTAAAATAGCGGTTCCAATTTGGTGGGCTGTGTTTCAGTAGCAAGTGAAATTATCCTTATATGTGAAGTAGAGTAGCTGCTTTTTCTTTACTAGCTTCAAGTAGGAGGTGGTTAGAAACAGTCAGGTTATTTGGATCATGACTGTTAACCTGCACGTTTGCTTTGTCCAAACGAAGGGTAGGAAAGTTGCAAAACTCCCTGCAAAAAGGAGTTTATAGCAGGGACGGGAGTTGGGAGATGGTAGTTCAGAGGCAGCAGTGCGAAGGGGCAAGGCCAAAAAGCTGCAAGACGATGTTAAGAAAGCTCAGGTCCAGGAGCCACTGGTCTGAATTTAACATATTCTTTAGGTACTTGCTCCTAGTCCCAAGTTGGTGGCTGGTGAATATTTTCTCAGCTGTTTAGTTTAAAATCGGTCTCTTTTGTATAAAATGTTCAGCGTATGGTAGATTAAAATTATAATTTACTTTGTATGGCAGCACTGTTCTTTAAGCCATAAAAAGCTCTTTCAGTCTCCGTTCTGCACCAGCTAAGGCAACAGCAGAAGGAATGCCAGTTCGATCAGAATAGGTTTTATATAAATAGCCTTTTCTGATGTAGAGCAGAGTTTCACCCCCACTCCCACCCCCGATAAAGAAAAATACTCCTTTAGCACATTGTAACCAGTCTAGAAAACCCTAATGCCAAAGATTTCTGCGTTTTGTTGGGCTAACCTGTGTGAATACTGGAGATCCACACTGGTCCAGCATATGTCCCTGGACTCCTTGTTCCGTTGAGCTGAATATTTGTCATCTTCCATGGTAAGACCCAATTTGCAGTTGGTTAGGATACGACTGGTGACTATTCCTTTCGATGGCAGTGCTAGCACTGCTTCTGCAACACCTCCTTCAGGGCTGGTAGAACTGCATGGCTACATGGAGAACTAGATCAGTAAAATTACTTGGAATTTCTTTTTTTTTTCCTTTTTTTTTTTTTCCCCTGCCAGCTTATATTTATCTCTTAAATTACGTAATCATTCCATAACTTGAGTTTTTTGCTTGGATTCTGTCCCAGACAATTGTTAAGATTCAGTATCTATGGGGAACATAGAAACAGCCATTTTTCTGTAATATGTGCACTGTAGCACAATGAACGGAGAAAATTTCATCAGTCTTTTGTGGCTTGGGGGTGGGATGTGGGAGTATGCCTTATTAGACATCTCCCCAAAGAGTGAACATTGCACGTAGGTACTGTGAGCTATCTATAGTGAGCAGCGTTTGGAGCTGTTGCTTTGTGTGGACATGCTGAGTCATTTCAGAAAGAGATGCTTGTAAAATCCTGAACAATAGACATCCAGGTCTCTGGTGTCCTGTGGACCTTTTGACTAATTTTCAAATGTAATCTGAAAACCCATATTCCTTTCTTGTTTTTGTCTAGATTATTCTTCTGCACCTTCTTTCTTTGTGCCTAGAATAAACTACCGTGCTTCCTCGGAGTTTTCTTAATGGCTTCCCATGTAATCCTACTTACAGACACTCACTTTTTGCTGTCTTCCAAGATGAGCCTGTGAAAACCAGGCTATTTTGCAGCGACTGCTTAATAAGCTAGATGCAATATTATATCACGCTTTGGTAAGTTATCACAGCAAAGATGCTGGTCTTCGAGGCTACTCAAAAGTCTGTGGTCCAGCCATCACAAGGAGTCAGAGCATTCCATGCTGAGTTACGTACGGATGTATGAATGTTGCCTTTCAACATCTGATTTTTCAGATCGTGTCATGAGGCAGAACTGTAGCTTACTGAATTTCCTTTCATGAGGATTTTGTTAGACTCTCAAACCTTGAGTGTCTCCTGTGTTGCAGCTTGTACAGTGACCTACTTGTGTCTTTCAGATAAAGAGAAGGAGAAGATCAAGCTTGAGGAAGATGAGGCAGCAGCTGCCAGCACTATGGCAGTCTCGGCTTCCCTTATGCCGCCCATTTGGGACAAAACTATTCCTTACGATGGCGAATCTTTCCACCTGGAGTACATGGATCTGGATGAGTTTCTGCTGGAGAATGGAATTCCTTCCAGCCCTACGCACCTGGATTTGAATCAGAATCCACTCTTGCCTGTGGCTGAGCTGGAAGGAAAGGAGTCTGCCAGTGCTTCCACTGGTTCTCCTGCATCATCCTCTTCCACTGCAGTTTACCAGCAATCTGAAGCAGCCTCCAGTACAGGTAGATGGAATAATGCGGGGCTCTGAGGGACTTCTGTTGTTCTCGCATTAAAAGGCGCCTCTTAGATCAAAGAGGAGACCTGCTAACCTGTCGGTGTTAGCTGTGGCGGATTAAGTAGCACAAACATGCTCAATGTAGAGCCTTATTAGTCCGTGTGTCAATTAATGAAGATGCTGCCTCTCCTCTTCTTCCCTTCTCCCCCTCCTGGAAAAAATGAGCGAGTGTCTCTCGGCGTGCAATCTGTTTCTCTTTTGAAATTAGAAGAGCTGAAACACCAACATGAAGTATTTGCTTTCTTGGTATTGCCAATCTAGTGAGAAGCTGAACACGTTGAGAAAATAGTTTCTCAGGTTATTTTACAACAGATTTGATAGTTTGTGACAAGTCATTTGTGCTACCTTGGTGGCTTGCTCTGCTTGGGTGAACTTATGCTAACTTAATGTACCTCAAATAACAATGCTTAATAGGAAAACAATGAAGGAATCTTTTCATGCTAGCCTGTGAAATGTGAGAACAGACACTTGGAAAAGGTGTGTTAATGATGCAGTCTGATGTTCTGTGGTGCTTTGAGGTGGGAATGGAGGAACAAAGGAACAAAACTGTACTTAAATGGTACTGGGAAACTTCTCTTCACTTGTAGCATGGAGATCTTCTCCGTTAAAGAATTTAGCAGCTCGGTTTGCCCTAGGTTTGGAGTTTAAACGTGGTAGCCACTAAACTTTCACAGTACTTTTTTATGAGCAGACTTTACAGAAAGCACTTTGCTCACGGCCTCCTCTGTGAGCCTGCGAGAGAACGGCAAAATGTGGAACTGCTTCAGTAAGACATAGGGTGTGGCTTTGCTCTAGGTGGTATATGAAAAAACTTATTCATTGATCACTACTTCAAATTGCACTGACATTTGCAATTCATGTGTATGAAGTCTGCAAACAATAGATAAATATGACAAAGTTCATATGAACACTGTCAGCGTTAGACAATCTGTTGGGACATTTCTTTCCATGTGGCGAAGAAGTAGAATACTGCTGCATTAGTAGCAAACTCGCTTTTATTTAGTCTTTTGTTTGGAAATAGAATTGTCTGACCTTTGAAGGTCCCAGTGACCGGGCTCTTTGGGCAGGCTTGCTCCTGTAAGTCTTTCTATGGTACAAAACTGAAGCTGATACAAGTTTCTCGCTACTTATTGCTGTGGAAGGCACTTCTTAAGTGCGCAAAGCATGTGGTTTTTGCCAAGGAAGTATTAACTCTTGTCCTGCATCTATCTGCTAGTGTCTGTTAGTCTGGCAGATGTTCCTAGAGTTTGTATTACAACTGGACTGTGTAGCTTCTCCCTGCACCAGCAGTGGTACAGCACCAAGGCCACCTTAAGGAAATACCAGATAATACTCTTAAATACTGCCCACGGTAGGGCGATAAATAGAGATACTCAAGTTGGCTT